TATCATTATTTTTTTGTCAAATTGTTCCAGTTTTGGCTACTGGAAGCACTTTTAGGTTAGTTCCTGTGTCCTTTTAAAATACTTCCATTTTTATTTACTCCAGGCCTATCTTGTATTTTCCCTGTACCAGTTCTAGAATCAATTACTTCCCCCAAAGCCCTGGTTCCTTCTATTAGAGAATAGTTTTTTCGTTTTCTTTCTTTTTTTTTTTTTTTTTTGCGGTACGCAGGCCTCTCACTGTTGTGGCCTCCCCCATTGCGGAGCACAGGCTCCGGACGCGGAGGCCCAGCGGCCATGGCTCACCGGCCCAGCCGCTCCGCGGCATGTGGGATCTTCCCAGACCGGGGCACGAACCCATGTCCTCTGCATCGGCAGGCGGACTCCCAACCACTGTGCCGCCAGGGGAGCCCAGAGAATAGTTTTTAGAAACCAAGATCTGAGTGTCAGTTTCTCTAAGCAGAAAGAGCAAGGAAATATGCATATGTGTGCTGACCGATGTACACATACATATCTATATTTTTGTATCCATCTATCTGTATATATATTTTAAAACAGCATGAATTCATGCTGACTCTGACTCCCACCCAGCACCAGAGGTTTTATTCTAGCTTTCCCCTTTTCTGGAAAAGGCAAAACCATAAGAACAAAAAATGGGTCAGCGGTTGCTCAAGGCTGTACAAGGGAAATTTTGGCTTGACAAATCTTCATGGTTCAGCGGTGGTAGATACACAACTCTCTGCGTTTGTCAACATTCATAGAATTGTAAACCATAAAAAGTGAATTTTACTGTGTGCACATTAGAAAAAACTTCAGCCAGAACATTGTAAGAACTCAACATGGAATGCAGATCATGACGAATAAATCTAACTATTAAAATTAACGACATAGCCACACTGAAGGGCATGGGGAAGAAAGGAGCTGACCTACAAAACTTTGGAAAACAGTATATTGAGTGAATCAGTAAGACTAAAGTCAAAAGGAATGGTATAAACACTGAACTTTAGTTGGTAAATTTGTTTCTCATAGGTATATGGGTTAGCAGTTATGAAACTACTTTTCATTGTGTACCAGGGTTAAACAAATTAATGCACTCATTGTGGATAATGAGAGCCAGGTTTCTTAATGCCAACGAAAGAAGAAAGAAATAAACATTTTTGAATAAATAAAAGTTTTGGAATTTTTATATAAAATGTTTATAGAGATATAAAAACTGTCATACTTAGTTACACATTTAAAGAATTTTTTTAATTGAAAAGGATAAAATTACATGAAATTGAGAAAATCTGGTACATGTTACAAGCTATTAAAATATATGCAAGTGTGTGTGTATTTATGTATGTATACAATGTAGTTTTCTCTAAAAGCATCAATATTTGTAGGAACACAGGCATTGCCATTCTGACTCAAACTAATGAGGTTTTGTTCTTATTAGAAACAAAAATTTACCTCTATGTTTCTTGAATTGAGTGGTGTTGGTGTATTTTATTGCCAATGTGATTTATCTATTTTTAAAATTTTTACTGGAGTATAGTTGATTTATAATATTGTGTTAGTTTCTGCTGTATAGCAAAACGAATCAGTTATACATATACATATATCACTCTTCTTTAGATTCTTTTCCCATAGAGGTCATCACAGAGTATTGAGTAGAGTTCCCTGTGCTGTACAGTAGTTCCTTATTAGTTATCTATTTTATATATAATAGCATGTATATGTCAATCCCAATCTCCCAATTTATCCCTCCCCCGCTTTCCCCTCTGGTAACCACAAGATTGCTTCTACATCTGTGACTCTATTTCTGTTTTGTAAATAAGTTCATTTGTACCATTTTTTTAGATTCCACATATAAGTGATATCATATATTTGTCTTTCTCTGTCTGACTTTTAGCTTTGCTCAGTATGACAATCTCTAGGTCCATCCATGTTGCTGCAAATAGCATTTTCATTCTTTTTTATGGCTGAGTAATATTCCATTTTGTGTGTGTGTGTGTGTGTGTGTGTGTGTGTGTGTGTATATACACCACATCTTCTTTATCTATTCTTCTGTTGATGGACATTAAGGTTGCTTTTATGTCCTGGCTATTGTAAGTAGTGTTGAAATGAACATTGGGGTGCATGTATATATATATATATATTTTAAATATCTTTGAGTATATTTGCTTTACAATGGTGTGTTAGTTTCTGCTTTATAACAAAGTGAATCAGCTATACATATACATGTATCCCCATATCTCCTCCCTCTTGTATCTCCCTCCCACCCTCCCTACCCCACCCCTCTAGGTGGTCAAGCATGTATCTTTTTGAATTATGATTTTCTCCAGGAATGGGATTGCTGGATCATTTGGTAGTTCTATTTTTAGTTTTTTAAGGAACCTCCATACTGTTCTCCATAATGGCTGTACCAATTTACATTCTCACCAACAGTGTAGGAGGGTCCCATTTTCTCCAAACTCTCTCCAGCATTTATTGTTTGTAGATTTTTTGATGATGGCCATTCTGACCTG